TCGAGCACATTGAGCCACATCTGCCCTTATCATGTTTATTAAATGCTTTCAATACCAATGAAGAACAACCACAATGATGGACCTGAGCCTGTTTTGCACAGCACGTCGCTGAAGTGCCGTGAATCACCTATACCAAAACTGCATTTAGACATAATCCAAACAAGCTAGACAGCTGTCCTGAGATGCTCTTTGCCTCCTCAAAGGAGGCTCAGCCCGCTGTTCCTGCAGTGTGCTTTAGAGGTGGAATAAATCAAATTCATTTCAGAATCCAGAAAATGTCTTATCTTCACTAGATGGATACCTGTCATAAACACTCTGCTAAGGCAAAAGAGGCTTGGCCATTGACAACGAACTAAATCCCCTTAGCCCTGCCTTGGATGGGCAGTTGCCAGGTGGATTACAATTTAACCTGAGCAATAAAAATCATCGGTAACCTCCACACAGACTGGTCTTTATTCTGCATGTCAGACTCACTTCAGAAAAAACCTTACTCTCAAACAGGGCTCTGAATCAAAACACCACTCACTAATAGCCATTTTGCCATAAACTGTGTGCTATCTTAACCCTACTTATCTTCCTCACGTGTGTATCTTCTAACAACAAAGCAGGAAGTTTCCCTTGAAATTCACTCTGCTATATCTCACAACATCCTCGTGTGTGTACTCACATGGGTAGAGCACCACAACACCGACCTGGGTACAGACACACACTGAGCACAGAGCTGTGGGTCAACGCATTGCAGCCACACAGCAGCTCACCCCATTTCCTGCACGGATGAAGCCAGCCCCCTCATTTTGGCTGTGGGATGACGGGGCTGAGGCCAGGTTTGGCCTGTCAGTGAATTTTCTGTGACTTGGCAGCAGTGCCCCCCACATACAGCTCCAAGAAGGAGTGAGAGCTTCTCGTGGCGGCTCCCAGACGTGGAGGCCAAGCCGTACATTGCCAGGGCGCTGAACGCGCCAAGCCGGTCTACTGAGGCCGTGCTATGAGCCATCCCCGAGCCCAGAGTGTCACGGCAGGGATCTCTGCAGGCTTCCCCGCCCCACAGCCTCACTCTCCGTCGGAGACGCGGACGGCGCCACGAAGCCGCTCGCTCCGGCTTCAAGAGCTCGAGGCCGCGCTGAACTTCACGGCTCCGGTCCCCAAGCGTGCCCGCGGAGAGGACGAGGAGGGCCGAGCACGGAGCCCAGGGCACGGCCGGCGCCCACCCACGGCGCTGCTCGACGCTTGCCGAGGGTCGCCCCGCGGGCACCTCCTCCCGGGGGCCGCCCGCCTCCCCGCTGCCCCGCTCCGGGCACCGCCCCGCCCGCCCGCCCGCCCGCCCGATCCCCGCCGCGGCGGCCGCTGCCCGCGGGCTGCCCGCGCACTCACCCGCTGCCCGGCGGCGGCCGCGCTCTTCCTCCGCAGCGTCAGCCCGCTCCGCAGCAGCGCCGGCAGCTCCCGCAGCTTCTGCCGCAGCTGCACCGGCGGCGGCTCGTGGGCTCCGCCGCCGGGGCTCCAGCTGCGGGCCGGCTCCGCGCCCTCACACGGCGGCGGCATCTTCGCGGAGCCCACAGCCATGCCGCATCCCGGCCGCGCTCCGCCGCGCGCGCACTCCCGCCCGCCCGCTCCGCCCGCCTTCCCCCCGCGGCGCCCCGGCCCCGCGCCCACCCACGGCCCCCGCGCACCGAGGCCCCGCCGGGCGGGCGGCCCCGGCAGGCGCAGGAAGCCCCGCCGCCCGCCACCTTGCCCGCCCGCCGCCGAGCTGCCCCCGCCCCGCGCCGCCGCTCCGGCAGCGGCGGTGCGCAGGTAATGGCAGGGCGGAGGAGGCGCGGGCGGGAAGCGGCAGAAAGTCCGGTTAACTCCTTTGCGCTCGGGGCCGGCCGCGGCTGGAAGCTGCCGGGGGTCGGAGGGAGGGCTGCGAGAGGTGAGGCTCTGCCCCGCCGTGTCCCGGGCTCAGCGCGCTGCCGGAGGAGCCGGGCGGCTCGTCTCAGGTGGGCGGCCGGCTCCCAGGCATCCTGGTACTTCCTAGAGGAGCTGAGCGGGGAGCCCTCGCTGCCAGAAACTGATTGATTTACTGCTTGAGTAGAGCGAAAAGAAGCGTTCTTCTGCCTAAGGCATTTATCTGGAACATGGTACCTTGCATTCCGGGGGCTTTATTTCACCTTTGGAGTCTGCATCGACCATCTCAGTGGCACAGGTGTTTCCTTCCTTTCTGCTGGGCTCCAGACTTACCTCGCAGTTCAGAGACACTAATGTGAGATGGGATTCTCCTTACATACATCATCTGCCACGCAGCCACAAATAAGGCTGACCTGTTCCTCCAGGTTAGATTCACCAGTTTCTAAATGTCTCAGTAAGTGAAATTATAGTCAAGGCAATCTCACAGAAAAATTGTGGAAAGCTGTCCTCCTGACCCAACCATGAGGACAGAGTCTCAGGGACCAGCACCACCAGCCAACCAAACCCACAGGGAGCTGGCCACCAAAAAAAACAAAAAAAAAAGATGAAAAGATGGGATGGGGTGGGATGGGATAGAACAGAATAGAATAGAATAGAATATTTTTCTGTGTTTTAGAATATAGAATATTTTTTGTCACTTGTTCTTCCTAAGCCAACTCAGCTGGGATCTCAGAGGTATCCATACTGGAAGGGGAGTGGCAGATGTGTCTGGGCACAGAGGCACAGAATGGCCCCTTTTAAAAGCAGTGTGACACAGAGTTGTGCGTTGCATGGATACAGCAGCAGTAGTCTGGACTTTCTTGATATTATAGAATGATAGAAACATTAAGGTTCAAAAAGACCTCTAAGATTATCCAGTCCAACCATGCAACCCGTCCCCACCATGCTCACTAAACAGCGTCCCTCAGTGCCACATCTACAGAGTTCTTGAACACATCTGGGGACGATGAGCCCATCACTTTGCTGGGCAGTCATCGCCACTCTTTCAGGGGAAAGAAACAATTACTAATATTCAACCTGAATCTCCTCTGGTGCAATCTGAGGCCATTAACTCTCATCTAATCAATCAGTCAATCAATGGCATCCCTCCTTTTCACCTTCACGGACCTGACAGCAGACCACTGCAAAAAGATGATCCTGCCTGCAACCCATGAGCTTGTGCTCTGCTGAACCTGGTACCCATCTGACTCCAGCCAGCTGGTCAATCTGCTGGAAAAATTACACTTCAGAAAAAATAATGAGTTTTCCATTGTCCAGAGCTGAATTGATCCACCTTGTGACCACACAGCTGCAGGATCGAGGCAAGCAGCAACCTGCAAGTGAGGGAAAGCAGAAGTACTCCTTTCAGCAGCCATCTGTCATGAAAGAGCTCTGTTGCATCCTGTGCGTGCAACTTCGCAAGCAGTGCAAAGCGCTGAGCCAGGTCCTGCTGAAAGGGCAGGGTCTGTGCAGCCACATGCTGCTGCCACTTCTTTCCTGCTAGTGCCAACAGGCACTGGCCATAGCATGAGCCGAAGCAGGGAACTAATCCATCTGAAAGGCAACTGTAAAACATTTTCAGCCATTTTACCTGCCTGCTATGGCCCATCACATGAGACCTATTGCTGATATAACAGACAGGAACAGGGTAGGAACGTACTCCTCAGTGTCAGGCCTAACTTGGATGAGGTTTTCCATGGACACCGCAAGCCTCGTGGGATTATGCTGTTTTAGCTGAGGCTGTGCTGCACAATCAGATATGAGGATATCAGATATTGCTGTTCTGTGCAATGCCTCATGTCCCAAACATTTCTATTATTCCCTTCGACTTGTGCTCTCCAACTGCCCTGCAGTTTGACAGCTGTGTTGCCTGGCAGCCACTTTGTCACAGCTCAGGATGTAATTACAAAGAGAGATGTATCTGCACCCAAAAGAATAATGGATCCTTCGTGTGTAGGGTTTACGAAAGGCCCACAGTCTTTGGCTGAGTCTTCACACTCTGCTGCATTGCAAATGATAACATAACTCAGTAAAGCATGTCTTAATGTGACAGACTGGGGTACTAGCAGAAGTAATTTGATTATGTTAACAAAGGATAAAATTGTACCAATGCTTTTTTGTTTTGTTTTTTTTTTAAAGCTAAGCAAGGTCCAAGCAAGGTAAGTGTACCTTGAGAGCAGTATCTAAAGAGGAGTAAATATGCTCTTCAGAATATTTGAAAATAATCGGGTGCTTGATAATATAATTTGGACAAATAGTTATCACAGAGATTGAGTAGGTAGCAGTTAGTCTTTCTATTTCTAGTTTGGATTATCTCAGTTCTTTGGAAGATCGTGATAGGACTTGTCTAGAATTAAATCTGATATTGGTTTGTTGTTGTTGTTGCTGTTGCTGTTAAGTCATAAAAGATGTAGCTTGGTAAGTGAAAATGAATCCCTTACAGGAAAAGGGGAGAGGAGATCAAAACTAGGTCTGGTCAGGAGTATTTGACAAAATAGAGTTTCATTTGAAAAAAAAATAAGAAAAACAAAACCAGTATGTTGTACCCAAAATGTTGTTCTCAAAGTACCTTGATTTCAGTGAACTTTTGCTGAATATGGAGCAGGTCGTTGGGGGAGCTGGCCTCCATCCTCAGCAGGCTTGGTCCCAGATAACTACAGATTTCCAGCCCCTCGCAAACATCAGCAGTAGCACAAAAGGAATTTCAGTTCCATCTGCAGGCACGCTGGAAATTCCAGTTCTCCAGAAATTTTAAACACTTAATTTGGTGGAACATATACCGAAATCAAGGACTTAAGCCCTACAGTGCTTCTATTGGAAGTCTAGGCTTGGGTGTACCTCCTAGAGTAGGGCCCAGAGTTTTTTGTTCTCTCACTTTCGAAAGACTTCATATAAATATAGGAACATGTATGTTTAAATCAATACAGGATGGACTCTGGAGACCTAAGCAAATCTACTGAAGCTTAACAGATGTGGGGTCTGACAGTGTCTGATTTTTTCTTAATGTTTGTTTTTCTTTCAGATAACACAATCAAAAGAAATCCTGTGAAAACAATACAAGCCATTTCATGCCTGTGTGTGCTTAATATCAGTTCTTCATAGATGATTACAAAAAGAATTACACAGAATCAGAGAATTTGTTGCAGAACATAATAAACATTTATTTTGGACTGTAAATATCATGAGTTCCTGGCTCGGTCACAACTAACACTAGATATCACTTTGGTTTTCACTTGCACTAAGTGCAGATAGATGATGCAGGAGAAGAACTGGGACATATAGGAGTGCAGGGGCCAGATGACAGACTGTGATCCTGAGCCAGCTGCTTGCAGCAGGCCTTTTGATATACCTGTTCTGACCTGGCAGGAGAAAGTGAAAAGAAAGCAAACTTTTCCAAAGCAACAACAATCATCATACAACACCACCCATTGTACAACAAGCCATACATTGCTTCCTCTTCCCCGGATGATCGCTCCTGCTGGACTGGAGAAGGAGGCAATGCTTTCCTACCCGTTCAGAGAAAGAGTCAGCTGTGTTCTTCCCATCTCTTCAGAAAGCAAGTGAGCAGGCTGTTCCCCATAACACTCCCTCACCCCTCACACAAGGGCAGGTGACAGCCAAGCACCAAGGCTGCAGGCACACACAGCAGGATGCTGGCACCTCTCCCTGCAACGTGCTCTGTTTTGGAAAGTCTTCTTCCAACTTCAAAACCAAGCTGTTAATCTCTCTGAGAGTTGCTAGGAGTCCCACTTTGGCTGAACAGCTTACTGCAGACTTCTGAGTTTTCAGTTCCCTTTCACCTGGTCGGTGGGATCCCAATTATGTTTTTAATCTTAGTTGTTACTAACTTACTGTGGATATGCCATAAACTTCAAGGAGCAGGTTGAGCTGTAGATGTCTCTGTTCATTTCAGGGGAGTTGGACTAGGTGACCTTTAAGGGTCCCTTCCAACTCAAAAGATTCTGTGATTCCAGTCATCTATACATTTTGTGTGTAAGTCTTTGATTTTGTTTCTCAAATTTTGGCTTATTTGTTTGTGGGCTTTTTTAAGCAACATTTCCAGTTGGCTTAGCACCATGTCATTGCCTAGATCAAATATGTGGTGAATTCAGTTCAGAAGCACTGCTTACAGCATTTCAGAGATGTGAAAGGCCTGCAAATCATAACATAAGCTCAGCTATGGAAAGATCCTAAACTGGAGAAAACAGGGTGTGACTTGAAAGACAACAGAACTGGAGAATAACTCCAATAAAAAGAGGGAAGAGGTGAAAGATAAGGAGATATATGAGTAGTTTAATGATTCGTGTGACTCACAGCTGGAAGGGCTGAGGCTGCTGGTATTTACACAACCTCCAGCTTTCTCCTGACAGCCCATGAATTCCCTCAGCACAGTGTCCAGCCCGCTCTGCAGCACCCCATAGGTCTATATCCCTGTGTCCACTTCAGGCTTCAGAGCCTGATGCATCTTCAGAGGACAGCTTAGTCCATGCCGTGCCAGTCTCTCATGCAGAGAATCAGGCCTCGCTCCCTACTTGTGGTCCTTTGATGGTCAGAAATGAAAGAGCTCCTGAGCACCCTGAGCCTCAGGGCCTGTCACTGCTGCAGCTGAACCCAGAGTCAGTGGACATGGGATGGGGGCAGCTGCAGCAGGGGTGTTTGTCATCCTAAAAAGATATCTTCTTGCATTTCCTTTTATTGTTTGATCCTTTTCAAGGATCATTGGGCCCTGGTGACAGGGGGTACGCTAATATAAACACAGCCCAAAGCATTGTTTGGTATCTAGCAAAACTTGTGGCTCCATACAAAGAAAAGGAGCAGCGTGTTTGCTTTGGTAATTGTGATTGCCCGAGCTAATGAACCTGACTTGGCTCTTCAGTTTGATTTGTCTTTTTAACATACTTGGAAGCAGGGGACCTTATGACCCCTCTGGGAAATTAAAACCCTTAAAGCTCTCGTGTTGGCCTTTTCTGTCAAAGCAATGTCATTGAGCTATTGCTCTTACCGGCCAAAATTAAACTCCAAAGCCAGTAAGATTCTCAGTGGAATTATTCAGTATTTCTTTTCTTTTGTTTGTTTACCTAAACACAAATCTCAAAACAAATCAGTATCTGTTAATTAAAATTAAAAAAAATAAAATAAAATAAAATAGAAGGTAACAGATGAACCCATGAAATCTGGACTTTTTTCTGCAATCTGCAACCAACAGTCAGCTTTGTTTATTCCCAGGCACCAGAGCATATGCATGAGTTTTTTTAAATAACGTCATATGTGAGAAGTTTTGTGTACTTTTACAGGAGAGATTGTGTGATTTTAAAAGACACAGATTGCAATTAGGTGTGAAATTCTCATTGCAAGTCAGTGGAAGACCTCCCCTGAATGACTGATTCTTAATCTGCGTATTTATCTTCTTTTCCTTAGCCATTACATTCCATATTTATATTTAAAATCACGTTTTCTGTTCTAATTCACATTTGTTTTTCTTTTCCATAGCTGTAAGTGTGAGGACGCTTAACTTGATTTTACAGAAATTGGGGTTAGGACACCGTGCTGTCTCTTTGTACACCTGAGACCTCTCTATCAATCTTCAAATGCTGAGGCCTATGTCAAGCACATTTGACAAAGGTATGAAAATCCAAAAAAAAAGCAACCCTCTTACATCCTTAAAAGCATTTTGAAACTAGGCAGTCAGCTAAGAGCAGTGGTTAGTGCCTCTCTGAGGTAAAAAGTGCAGCATCTCATATGAGACATTGGAAAATCTGGATAGGGTCATAAAAGCAGGGCACAAATCCATAGAAAATCAAGCTCCATTGATTCCCCCGGTCACAGAACTGCTACAGAACTGTGATGCATATGTCCTTGTTTCTACGGTATATATTTTCCCACAATATCCATGCAGCTTTCCCATCAACCAGCTACCTTAATGTGACAGTAATGACTTTTTCATGATTATATCATCATCTGCAAAAGGATATTTGCATATGTGCACGTATATTTATAAAAGGGCCCCTCTTGCTTTAAGCACACTGTCAGTATCTCTCACTGCCTTCATGTGAACAGATCTTCACTCCATATAATCTCTTTGATGAAGTAAAAATACAAAAGCACATGCCAAATATTTTGAGTTTGCAGCATTAACCTGGGTCAATGTTGACAAACTGTTCCCAGGGATGGTAACATCACTAAAATATTTTCACTCCAGTTTTTTGAGAGGTTGGAAAAATCAACAAAAGGACATCACGAGACCGGTTGCCAGAAATAATATTGTAGTTTCAAACACATGACCATCTCACATCTTGTGAGTAATGAAATCCTTTAAAACATTTTCTTTAATTTGGTTTGTTTGCATCGTGTTCTGTTTCTTGTTTTCTTTTAAATGTCTTTGCTTTTTCCTGCTGAATAAGAGCACCACAGATGTTGAACAGAGAGAGTGAGGCAGATGACTGGACCAGAAATTCTGATGGGGCTTCAGAAGAATCTCTGCCTGTACAAGGGATGCTGTAGGTTTGCTCAGTGACTTAATAAGCTTCTGTGGCTTTGTTAAAGATAACATATCCTCCTAATGGAGGTAGTTAAGTACAGCCAGGGCAGCACCATCAGAGTTAACAGGGCCATGGATAAGTCCAGATGACTTTTCCATTTACCATTTGGAGGCTTTGCTCCAGTGAATCTGCAGGTCCATGATGGTGTGCAGTAGCTTTGAGGTCACGTGTGTGACAACCAGGAGTCAGAGCCAAGGTAGGAACAGTCCTGGTTTTGCATCTGTCTGCAGCAAAAGGTCAGGAACAGATTGTGTATCCCCACATCTGGCAGTGCTGCTGCACAGGAGCTAGTAGCAATCATCCAGGGGCAACACGACGTCCAGGAGACCAAGCACTCACGAGGTAAGTGTCTGCGGTCTGCTGAGTGGCTTTTGCACGGAGCCACACAAGGGCACTTGGAAGTTTGCATCCAGAGTTCTGCTCTGATGAGCACTCAAATCTCAAACCAATAGCCCTCCTAGGATTCCCCTATAAACTGTTCATCTACCCCTAAGGGATAACATTTCCTTATTAGAAAACATCTTCAAAGGAGACCTTCCGTTATTTTTGCAATGACCCGATCAAGGAAGTAGTAGACAGTAGGGGTGGAGAAAGATGGGTGAGTGATCAGAACAGCTCTCTCATTGCTGAGATATCCAGAGTATCCAGAGAAAAAAAGAAATTGTCCTCCCTACCTCAATCTCCTGCTTTTCAGCCTCTTCAGTTTACAGACACCCTGGACGTATCTGAAAGGCAGTATGAGTCAGAGTTGAAGAAAGGCAAACCAGCTCTAGGACATGAACTGCTTGACCCAGTGGAGAGGGACCATCCACGAAGGTTATGGATGTTTACTTGTACAGAGGAGTGGGTGTCTCTGAGAGCATCAGCTGCAGAGGCTGAAGATGTTTATGCTTTTTGATCTTGCCAGGTGTGCTTCTATGCCAGAACAGTACTAGCTCTGGGGCATGCATGTATTTAGCTGCCTGGAATGTGCAAAGGTCAACAGGGAGCACCCAGAACCATACGACAGGACACCTACAGGCCAGGTCCCTGACAAACCACATCAGCAGTCATACAAAACCAGCGAGAGCAGTAAACACATAGCCTTCTTCTGGATCTATGCACAAGAAAGACATAAGGTGAATTTTCTTTGCCCATGAGAAAAAACTGTTTCTAACTGAAGCCCTGGAAAAAGACCTTTTTTGTGCTCTGACTGTGAAACATTTGCGGTGTTTTCTGAGCCTTGGATACACTGCAATTGTAAACAGTGTTGTATCTGTAACTGTAATGAAATAAAATTATGAAGTCATATAAAGGTTAAGCTATTTCTAACAGTGCACTAAACCAAATTAGTCTAATTGACTAAGTTGATGCTAAACTTATTAACTTAGGGACAAGCAATTCCTGGGCTATCTAATGGTGTATTTAGCTAACCACACAAACAACAGCGTGTATCAAAGCAAATTTAAGACAGACATTCTGCCAGCAAGAGGACTTGGCTAAACCAATACATTTGTAGCTGAGACTAATTTTTGAATTAGAGCTTCAATAATCTTATGGCAGTCTGCCTAGACTGTTGCGGTTAGACAATAGTAATTCTTCCCTTTTCTTCTAGTATTTTCACTCATTTGCAACACAGTTTGTGAAGAATATGACTTGAAAGCTAGCCCAGCAAGGCACATCACAAATAGCACTCAAACCTTTAAGATAATTATTAAGAGAAATAAATTATTTCCCAAACATATATGTAACCTCATCAACACAGTCAGATGTTTACAACCAAACACTTATCTCTATACATTGTCCTCAGCAGAAAAAAAGCAAACAAAAATATGTGATCAGATATTTGATTTTCTGCTTCCCAATTCTTGCAAAACTGTTTTTTGTTTCAGAAAGACTGACTTGCTGTATTGTTAATATATGTAAGTAGCTTTCTGGTAATGACAGAGCAGGAAATTACTCTTACTGGCTTGCAGTAGTTCTGTTTCTTGCATTGTTTTGTTCTTCCAACCTCCTAGAAATGAAGAGAGTAAATAAGTGGTTTGTGTGTCTCCCCATGCTATTTCAAAAGCTGGTACAAGGCACCTTCTGCAGCAACATTTTTAAAAGTGAAAAAAAGAAGAATGTAAGTGGTTAGTACAAGTTGATAAAAATAGGATGAAATACAGTGACTCCTTCTAAGATTATGTTAGGTCTCTATTGCAAACCAAGAAAATCTTCCTATTAGCTTTTATTCATGCTTCCAGTAAGTACTGATTACTCATTAAGTAATTCATGGAAAATGCTATTTTGGCAAGCTAGAATGCTGTCTGAATGTAAAATTACTACAAATAAGTGGATCGTGAAAAATCATAAAACTTGGCCTGTGAGCTCAGACAAAGCTGAGCCAGCTTTGAGAATATCTGAGAACTTCTCACTTTAGCAGAGATCTCCTAAGCACATCAGATCTCATAAAGAAAAAAAAATCATTTCAAAACAGAAAATGAAACAGAACTGTTTGTCATTCACATTGCTCCTATTTACAACTAATGGACAAAATCTTTCAGAGGTTAGTTTCCTGGTGGAAGACATCTACAGCTTCTTACTATACAAGTATTTGGTTCTTTCTTTTGCTCATCTTACTAGGTGACTCGGTGCTGACTTTACACTGACTCTAAACATTTTACAAAAGTACTCTTTCTAAAAGATCTGGAGGCTAAAGTGAACTCAGTGCTTGCTGTCAGTGCTACAGCCACAGCAGCACAGTGCAGATGCAACGACTGTAGAGGCTAAAGGGTCTGGTGGTGGCTGGTATCATCCTTTTTCTTCCGTGAGGCTTTTGTGATTGTACTGGATATGTCTTCACTTCCTAAGTGTAAGAGGTTATGTCTCCATCCATTTATTCCCAATTCTATAAGACACAGCTCAGTGTGTTATACAGTCAGGAACAGCCTCCCTCACCACTTTTTATTTTTATTTTTTTTAATTGTGGATTATGTCTATCCTGGATCTGTTCAGTTAATTATGGCAAAAGAGTAGCACTAAGCACCATTCAGCACGAGGCAATCATTCAGAGCTACTTCACCATCCAAAGCATCCAGAGATGTAAGCACCAGAGGCTTACATCTTGAGCAGGAAATCATTAATTCAACTCCGGAGATAAACATTACAGGTGAGGGTCTCAGGAGAAATCTTCCTATCAACACTACTGGGAGAAGGAAGAAGGAAGGTTTTTAAAGGGGGGTATGGTATCTTCACGACACAATGAGGTCACATAACCACAGAGAGCTCCTCTGATCCACAGTGAGCACCTGCAGTCCAATATCTGATTTTCAGAGATCTCCCACTTCCCTCATATTGATTTTCCATCTTAAGATTTAGTTTATCTACAGCGTATCTGCATGCGAAGTGATTTGCCAGGCTCCCTTTACTGTCAACGAAGAGAGACAGGTGTTTGTAGTTTGGATGAAGTACATCTTACAAATAATTTTTCTCCACTCATTATAGAGCAAACCAGGGCAAGCAACTTAAACCTAGACAGCTGTGCTGCAGACACTCCAGGTTTTCATTCACACTTCTGCAAACGGGCATAAAAAGTAACTAAGGTAGGCAGGAACACTTTAACTCTGGCAATACAGATTGACCATGTGCAGTGCACAGAAATCAAGAAATGGGCATTACAGGCTGTTCCACAGTCATTCTGTTCCTCCCTGAAACTGCACAAATGTGTAAAGAGCATAACCCAATTGTATTGCTCTTTCATTTTATTGTTTCTTTTCTTTACCAAGTCCCAAATTCCCCACCACTGAGTGTTCCATTATACAAATCCATAGGCAAATACATTTATTATTTCCAACAAGGACCATATTGATTTCATATAAATTGCACATGAACTGCATATCAACTGTCTATGCAAAATAAAGCATTGGAAAAGCCAGAGCAAGCAAACCTCTCAGGTTAAAATAAGTTATGCACAACCTACTTGTTCATCATCTTGAATAACAATTACATGCCTTAATTAAATAAACAGGCTTTATCTTTTATTACATCGCAAGAAAATGATACATGTCTACCTGTAAAACTATTTTGTAGGATCCACATGACAGGCTCAGACCTGAATACCCCTGTCCTACCTAAGTTACAGGAAAACAGTAATTTTCAGGAAAGCCATATATAAGTGGGTCATGTGATGTTTAACCCATTCCCTGGTGGCTGTATTCCTGTGGATGAGCAAACAGCCTGCAGTCTGAGGATGCTGCCCTGACTTGCTGCATTGGCCACACAGCAGGGAGCAGAGGAAGGGGGGGACAAGTCACGCATTTGCATGCTGCTGCAGACTCCAGAGTATATGAAAGAAGTCGGCAAGCAAATTCACAGTGAACTAATTCTGACATTTCATCCAGTTTAGATAATACTGTGGCGAGACTGCTGAAGTAAAGCCACTAAGTGCTTTCCTCTTTCTTCTTTAGGACGGTTACAGATCATCTGTGGCCAGTGTAACTTGTCAGATCCCACTTGCCAATGTAATCAACATTACAGCATCACAACCACAATACCTACAGACCATCATTTCATTAGGACATTCAGCCTAAGTCCAGAGCCTCTGTCTTTACCACTAAGGCTTCAACAGGCACCAAGGTTTGCTAAAATGCACACCCTCTTTCTCAGTCTCTATGGGACATTACCAGGAACACCACTGACAGCCAGCACACTGACTATCATAAGACTCTGTCTTCCTACCAGCTACATACGCCTCCATAGCCTTCTGGCACTGCACGTGTTTCCCTGTAAGAGGCTTGCAACGTGAGTGCCAAATGGCTGAAAATAAAAGCTGAAGCTGTCCTATCCTCCCATGAAACCTTTCTGCCCACCTCTCACCACTGATGCTGCCAAATCTCTCCTCAAGCCTCCCCGTGATTCACAGATGGTTTAATCAGTTCTGAACAGTTAGATCATGAGATTGAATGAGCATTTGAAATGCAAGGCACTGTTACAAAGGGTACCAAGCATTCCCAGCAACCCAGTAAGACTCCAAAGGCCTGGTACTTTCAATCAGCATCAAGTTTTAATTGCTCAGGAGAGGGCATGAGCCAAAAACAGTGAATACGACAACTGCTTTTCCCCTGCCATGACAAGCAGGTGTCACTTGACCAAAATAGCCGAGCTGGAAACGATATGAAAAAACTCTTCTTCAAAGGCCTGATTTGGCATGCAAAATGTCCGGTGTCTGGGTAATGGCCTGCTATTGGCTGTGGCCAACTGATCTCCACTTTGTTTCTGAGCTCAAAGAGAAAATAATAAAAGATCAAGTGTAGCTTTTTATAACTGAAGCTTTCTGGCTGTATTTAGAGTCATAATATGGACGTGAAACCATTTTTGTAGATGTAAAATGTCCACTAGTCAGTAGATAGACAGTACTTTCTCACACTCCTGGGACTGCAATTGATGTCTCAGATACTCAGCCTCTTTCCCTGAGAGAGAAAGACCTGGTCCAGGGTGACAGTCTGAAATACTCTGATCTCCCTCAGGAGCAGTACTGTCACGATTAATGACAGAAATTTGCACCTTTATCACAAACGAAGCCACCAATACTTGTACGAGATCAGTTCACAAACGAATGACTCGTGAAAACTACATGCAGTGAGGCAGAGATGACAGGGGAATGCATTTAGAGAGACTGCAGTGGTTGTAGCTGGAGGTGCACATACACATGGTCAGTGCAAACCTGCTACTTGGAATGTCTCTTGTGTTACCGTGCTGAAACCAAGGTCTGACATAATATCATCTAACAGTCATCCTGCTGGCTAGGGAACTCGTCCCTGGTAGACGATAATTGATTTTAGTAAGTCATGCCTTGATCATTTGTTGTCTGATTATAGTGTGCAGCATGTCTTGGCAGGAAACTGCAATTACTGTAGCATACTGCTGGTTATCTTCTCAGAAACACAGACGTGCCAAACCTTCCTACCACAAGCTGCTCTTCTGTACACAGCTCTCCCCTCTGGAAGAACACACACTGAAAGCACAACACAGACCTGTTTTTCTCAGCATTTTACAAGTGCAGTGCAGTTGCCCCATCAGAGCCCCATGTAGGTAGGGAGCCGTATGTATTTGTGAACATCCACACTCAGCTGAAAGACTGCAAGCACTGACAAATAGAAATTACTTTTGAAATTGATTCAGTTAATTATGCTCGCAGTTAAAACTTTACTCTTTAGAATGATATTTATGACAAGTGTTTTAGTCACCCAATTAAACTGTGATTCAGAATACACAAGCTTGGGAGCCCAAGTTTCCCGCATGTCCAAAGGAAAAGACACAAATACAAGCACATGGCTCGGAAAACCTGAAAAGACACATAGAATCAGACAGACAGTGTGAATGTCTGCCTTGGCCTTTATTAGGTTAAGATAACCTAAAGCCATGCTCTAGTTCAGGTTTATCGCCTTCACATACTTACTTTTGATATAGCAGAGAAACATTAAGGCAGAGCAAACCTGCTTGTGAATGTATTGAGGATCCTAAGGCTGCAACGTGCAATCAGTAGCGCAGCTTGAAGTTCAGCCCACGCTTCTGCACTTTACAAGCTTGAGATAGGCTTAAGTATGCACTTACGTCCTGCTCAACAGGGCCTGTAGGAACAGATCTCAGCTGTTTTAACAATGGTTTTGACTCTGGCACACATCCATGTGAGGAATTCCAGCTTCTCAGATTTCCTCAGAATATTCCTCATTTCCTGGAACATTTGGAAGGGTCACAAAATATTTTCCATTTCTCTGCCAACCTGTCTTACAGGGCGAAGAGTTCAGGTGGCTTTGTTTGATTCCAGCATTTCTCTCAGTCAGACGCATGGCATTTAAAGCCAGCCAACCAATCAACCAACCAAAAAAAACCTCTATCATTTATTTTCTGTCTACTGCCCAGTGACAAAAGTTAGTGCTACAAAATATCTGCTTCATGTTCACCCTTTACTGACTTCAGTGTCTACTCTTTCAGCCACTCTTCCAGCTGTTTTCCATCATACCCAATGCTGTCCAACTTTGGGGCAGCCCTAGAGGCTGCTCTCCAGAGGCAGAAAGCTGTTGTTTTCTCTTTGTAGCACAGCACTGGATCATGATGGTGTGAACAGGCAGACCAGGAGGCATCCGAAAGCTGCTGAGATTCCTACTTTATTCCTACTGCAATGGCTCTGTCCTCCCTTCCCCTACTTTTGTAATTACCCTGTTTTATTCCAGCACAAGCTTCAGCATAACAAGCTACAGACTGGACAGACTGATATCAGAGGCTTGGTTTTACTTTGTACCAAAGACAGCACAACTCTTTCAGTTTTACATCCCACTGACAAAATTAGGAGCAGAACAGTGTGGAGCTGCTTTGCCTTTCTGAGTGTCTGAGCATGCACTCAGCTCCCAGGTGGTGTGAAACACAATCATCACCTTTTGATGATGATGTTTTCTTTCTGAAAAATTTACTTCTACATCCTCATTTTCCAAAAAGAAGTTCATATTCTTCTCCTCTTACCTGCTCCACTGATTATAGGATCAGTAGGAAAACACCAGACCAATCAGCACAGTGTGCCTGCTGCAGTTTTCACACTCATCCATGCAAAAGTCTTTGGTCAATACTGGAAAGTTTTCTAACCCATTCGCATACACTTCACATGCAGTTGTTTTTTCCCCCTCACCTGAAGCTTTATAAGTGAATTGCCAACAAAAATCTGATTTCCCTTATGAATCTTTTAAGCAACTGAGCCAGAAAATATTTTGTATCCAAGTCTTGACGAGGAAAAGAGTTAAAACTTAAGCCTCATTGACAGGCATTTAGAAAAGCATGCCATACTACAATATCACCTTTCCTTTGCTTGTAAGGCTGAAGCTTCTGCAAAAAATGGGTAATGTACACGTTCACAATGCACAGATGCACTCACAGAACTTATGTACATGGAAGTGTGTTAAATTTTATTCACTCTCACTTGGCTCTTCTTGGCATGTTTGTTTATGTGAGCTTACTCTGTGTAACTCTATATATGTTTGCAGTGCCATCACAGATCTTTCTCAGCGATGCCTCTAAATTGTTCAGGAGACTATCCATTACTGCCCCTTTGAAGTGTCTACAGAATATTTAAAGACACTACCTTTTATACATGCATTAAGCTGGATCATGTTATTGTGTCCAATTAACCTTCCATCATAAGCAACTTTTTTTAACAGACTCTCCATTTCAGAACATTACACAAAATAGTAAGAAGAGAGGTACTAAGTTAAAAACAGTTGAACTCCCATGGCACAGGCAGCCCATCAGCTGAATCACAATAATTGACCACGAGCATGTTCTTAGCATGCCCCAATTGCAGGGTAAAGTGTGTTAGTTTAAACCACCATGAAGGTGCCCGCAATCTCCAATAGTCAATAGGCTGCAATGTGGCTATTGCAGTACTCACCACATCTCAGGGCAGCCTTACCTGTTCCATAGGTGTAACTTGGAACCTTCCACAAGTACATGCCAGGCCATAAAGAGACACTGTTCAAAACTGAAATTAAGCAAAAGAGAAAGAGCAGGAATCAAGAACTGCTTCTCAGTGTTACTTCAAGCAACAGGGTGTGACATATCTCTGCCACCACCCTGGGCTGGTCCAAATGGTGAAATTTCATCCTGTCATGGATCGTGAGTCTTAGGAGCATGTAGTCCACCTCAGATCTCAGCACATTCCTAGAATTTTAATGCAGCCTGAAACAGGAAATTAACATTTCAGAAGATCTCAATGAAACACTATTTTTCACTTTTTGCTTTTACAGTGTAAAATTATTTCATGTTGGCTGCAGATACTGTTTATCAAACAGACAGGTTATGATTTTATATTACAGTAATGCTGCTACTATTGTTTTTCCTAGCCTTCATTATTATAAACCTAAACAATATTTATTTATTCATTTAGCGAACAGATTTATTTTACACTAATGAGAAAAGCTATCCAATTTTGATGAAACAAGCAGTCAGGTGGTGGTTTTCAACCTAGTCAAAAGCAGCAAAATCAAAAGGATCCTATGAAAAAATCTGATTTGAAAAAAGGATGTACTGCAGCAGGGGAAATGTCTCCTTCCTTAGCCAAACAGTGAAGCTATATATAGTGAGCAGTAACAGTGTTTATAGCAGTTAATAGCTACAAACACACATACAACAATACAGGTCTTATCCCTGCAGGAATCCACAGTGGTGTACTTTTACTGGTCTTGGCTTCAGTTCCTTCTCTTTAGGTCTTATTCTTTCTCACACTCCACTTCCTCAGCGTTGTTCTGCAACCCAAAGGAGATTTAAACAAAAAAAAAAAAATAAACTTCCATTACTCTTTAAAAAACAGCTATTTTCCAAGGAGACTCAAAATTCTGAATAATCAGAATTTGATCATTACTCAGAGAGCTGGTTACCACCTGCAAGTCCTGAATATTCCGCTCCAAGTTATCTCCATCACAGAGGAAAAGAGCAGTAGTAGAATTTACTCATAGTTCTGAATTTGCAGAAACGAAAGGGAAATCTCACCTCTGACAATGATGAAAACATCAGACCGTGCTGACTGAAAAAAAAAACAAACAAGTACAACGGATGTTTGAACACTCTGTGCATATGTGGAAATTGTTCAGATTGAGTTTTGACATGGATTCCCACAATATCCTTGTATCCAAACTGAGAAGTTACAAGCTGGCAAGGTAGAATACAAATGATGGATGTGAAGCTGGACCATTGGGTTCAAAAGACAGCAGTCAACAGCCAGTCTAACTGGCATCTGGTTATGAATAGCAATATGAATGCTGGCATCATTAAGCATCTTCATCAGCAGTCTGGATGGTGGGATGAAGCACATCCAAAAAGCACACAGATCAAAGCAATATTGTTAACACATTGAAGGAAACATTTTTTCTTCTTGGTGCTTGTGATGCCACTATACACGCTTTAACATCCCCCAGTACAGGAATGAGCTCAAAAACTGAAGGGAATTCAAAGGAAAGACACTGAGGCGGTTGGGGATTGGAGTACTTGCTCAACAAGGAGAGGGAGCTGGGCTCATTCAGCCCAGAGGTAATCTGGCTTCATGTAGATCTAACAGCAATCTGCCAGGGTCTCTGGGGGATTATATAGAAAATGAGGTAACTTCTTTTCAGAGGTGCACAGTGAAGGGACAAGAGCAACAGGCATGAGCTTTGGTGAGGGAAATTTTGACTCAATGAAAGAAAAACAACTGCACTGTAAAGATGGTTAAGCAATGGATAAGGTTGTACAGGAAAAAATAAAAAGCTATCTCCATAGAGACATTCAGAATTAGAGAATGCTGTAAACAACCTGATGTAACTTTGAAGCTAGCCCTGTTCTGAGCAGGAGATCAGACCAGGAAACTTTCAGAAGTCCCTTTCAACATCTCCGTGACTCTTCATTTATAAAGTAAAACTAAATTCTACTCTGACATGCTTCACATGAATGTATAAAGGAAGGAAAATGAAAGCCTTAAGATGTAACCTTTTAATTCATACAATCAAGTTAAATGAAATCATTTATGATTTAATGTAGAAGTATTACACAAGTCTTTAATCATGCAAATCTCAACTGTGCTTTCCTTCTATACAGTTCATAAGCTATGCTTATCAACATGGTATCTGATCAGATCCTCGTAGTGCTGCTCTGAGCAGCATAACATCTGGTGTGTAGTTTGTTTCATGGTTACTGGCATTCTCTTCTATCTGCTTAGATCTTGACTCCTTTTGTTAGGGACATTCACATAAACAGGATGTTTCTCTTTCTGCCTGTACTGATATCACATTGATGTGAGTTCTCCTGCAATAGCCATTTTTAGCAAGGTAACATTAAAGGCTGTGATTACCAGCAAACAAAATCAAACCTGCATTCAAAATGCCAAAATAAAATGGAATCTTGTCCAGCTCCTGTGAAAGAAACTGCTCTCTGTCTCCACTTTGTCTGATAGCAGCAAATGTAATTTGCACAGCTGTTCTTCAGGGACTTATACAAAGGCTTCAGGCTCTGGGAAGACCTAACCTTTGTTTTTTTCTAGTTTGATTTTATCTCATTTTTATAAGGTCATAAATCAAGGCTAGAGAGAGGGAAAATATATTTGGGCTTTTGAATGCAAAATGAGTAAGAAAAAAAGCTGTCATTTAAAGTGAATTCCTTCTCTCCCCCTCTCCTTTTTCCTCCCAAGTGCAAGCTCCCTGCTGTACAAATCAAAAGTACGCACTGAGATGGTTCCTAAATCTTTTATGAAATGGGCCCTTCACTTGCACTTCAATGGAGCTTGCTGTGCATTAAAATTTCTTTTAATGGCAGAAGGAAATAATTCTACAATTACAGTTCTGTGCTTCCTGCCACACCTGGTATTTGGGCTGAATGTGGGACAGATGAATTATAGAAGTTATGGAAGGTTAAAAGAAATTGTTTTAGTGCCCTTTCTGCTATTTTCTTATGGACTATGAGACCTGGAGGTCTCTAGTCATGGTGGGAAGTGACCCAGCAAGTGTGGCCAAGGTCAGCATTGTCAGGTTGCTCAGGGGCCCAGCTGTGTGCGAAAACTCCCCCAGAGAGTGAGCACAAGTGCCCCTGGGAAGGCATGACCATCATCCTTGGATGAGTATCTCCTAGAGTGCCCTCAATCCACTGGTGTGCTCTCATGGCTCGAGGACATGCGGGGAATTTGACATGAGGTACCCTGTGGACATGCATCAATTTCCCCAGCCATGGACAAGCAGATTCTCTGACATCACGTATGTTCTTTCCTGTTACTCAGCCCTCTTGCCATCTGCCACCTGCACAAAAGCTCCCCACTAACCACAAGGCAGAGGACGTACAAGCACTACTCTGTTTCCCCAAATCCTCCCTCTTGCACAATATCCTCTACCCCATAGGAGACACCCCTGCAGTTCCTTGCCCTTGTGCAGACAACTGAGGGCTGAAATAATTGATTCATTCTTTTCTTAAGTTGTTGACATTCATACAGACCAGGCAAGACTAACTCAGATCAATGCAGCTCACAAGGGTACGTGCTCTCAAACGTACTCAGCACCAGTCTTCAAAGCAACCCCCTCAAGCCCAAAAACAACTAAAAAGAAGGCTTCAAAGGAGCTGTCTACCCCCTCCACAACATAATGTCCCATGCTCACTATAAACAATGGTAAGAGAAAAATCTGCCCTAACAAGATTCAAGGAAGACCTTGAAGTAAACCTCAGATGGATTCCCTAGGAAGAGCAGTTTCTTTTACCATGGAAGAGAGATTTTTTTTCTTAATAGTAGGCATGTTTAATAATATACAAGCTGTAGTACCATCATCCAAATATTTGTTTTTATCCATGTGCAGGCAAATCTGACGCTGTTCAAAAGTCAGCTCTTGTTTTCCTGTACACTTCCAGTGTGAAATCTTTCCTTACAGGTTTTTCAGTTTTATAAATACATATACTACCTCAAACTGCCTTCTACTTGCAGTTCAGGTACAAACTCCAATTACAAATTGTGGGTAGGGTAGAGAAAAACCCTAATTTCCTTACACTCTAACCCATGATAGTTTAGTGTTTTGGTTATTGCTTTGTTTTTATTTGGCATCAGATATGAGATATAAATTGAGCTTATAGTAATTCTTCATCATTGCTTTTTGCATCTATCTGCCAGTAAGTTTATTAAAACCTGAAAAATTAATACCACCCTTCTTTTCATGTATGTTGCTTTCCTCTTGCAGTGCCTTCAGTCTAAATCAGAAGTCATTGTATTTAATCAGTTTTTTAACTACAAGTTTAGGAAAAGAGAACTAGATGTACGAACAATGATAAAAGCATTTTCAATATCATGTTACAGTTTGCTACATTTCTTCCTGTGCTGCGTTGGTACACTATGTATCCTATTTTATTTCAGCCTGTTTCTCTGAGTCCAGAAGCAATTGGTGCATTATATCAGGACTAGATGTTCTTGTGAAGACTTGCACATAAGTACACAGCTAAGAACAAAGTTCATTCATGCTTTCTAGGTGCTCCTGAAATGAAGTATTAGTTTTGCTACTGATAGTATCAGGAGTTTTGTAATGCCAGAAAAGATGTTTTCCTTCTCAGTCTATATTGTTTGGAATACTATAACAAGAAAAGCCCTTGGGAATGGCACTGAGTATCTTGAATTACATCTGTTTTAATCTTGTTACCTGGTCACTGCCAAATCACTGAAATCTCACTTCCTTCTCTGAAAAATAACAAAGAACCTCCACACCATTTTTGGAGGCTTCATGCCACAACCATTCTTATTTTCTCATGCTGATTTACCCCAGACTCTGTCTGCACAGCCGAGTAGTGACTGCTGTACATACAAACCAAAAGATGAATAGCTCTCCCACGTATCTTTGGATTTCCTTATCTATCAGATTAAGGGCTCACTATCTGGAATGTCTTTTCCTATACCCTTGTTCAGTAAAATACTTTTCTGTTCTAATTCCAAGACAACAAAATGTATCTTCTAATCTGTAATGACTGGCAGATGGGCATTACAAAGTACCT